CGTGGCGACAGCCGTCCGCCGAGCTAACGCCGCTGCTCCCGGGACGCGTTCTCTCCGACACCGACGAGGTCTACCACCGTTGATGCAGGGATGGTTTTTTGTGAGCAAGTTGTTCTGTAAACTGAGGACTCGGAGCTGGTCCGATAGCGTGAGCGTATTTGGAGAAGAAGCAGTGGTCGCCGAGAAAAATGATAGATGGGGGGCCTTGGCGATGGTATTGGAACGCAAGATTATTCGTTCAAACGAAATGGCTAGCGGTTTATCTTTCAGGTTCTTTGGGAGACGGAGATAGAAGAGAAAACTTAAGAATCCGTGAGTCCGTCCCCTAGTGATTCCTGATGGTTCTCACATGAATAATATGTGAAGCGTGTGTACCGGACCCGGGGAATGTTGCTCCCAGGATCGTTTTCTCCTTGATTGATTTTTTTTCTTATGAGGATTTGTATGAAAACATCTATGCTGCTTTTGTTTTTCTTTTTATTACATGTTTTCTGGGTGCTAAATATTTTCTATTAATACTTGATGAGTCTCACAGGTATCAAACCACATTAGACGCAGTTTGATAAAAAAGCAATTGCCACAAAGAGAAAAACCAAACACGACATGAAATGAATTCAAGATCAGACAAGCATAAGGAGGCAACTTACAAGAGCAAGACCAAAGAGTTTAGGCAGATGAAGACTTACCTTTGCCACTTCCAAGAAAACGTTTTCTTTCAGTTTTAGTATCCCTTGCTCTCTCCTCCAGGAATTGGAATAAAATAAAATAAAGGTAAATCAAAGAAATAAGATAAAATAAACAAATAAAAATAAAACCAAATAAAAATGAGTAAAAGTAAAAATAAAATAAAATAAAATATAAAAAGGAGAGTAAATAAATAAAAAACGAAATAAATAAAAAACAAAGGATTAAAATATAAGAGGAAAACGGAACAAAAAATCATTTTTGGAGAACTTGTATTAAATTTATCTTTGCCCGTTTATTTTATCCTTCTACCCCTTCTCAACTCTATATATATTTTTTAACTACCCAGGATGAAATTGTAGTTATGAACAGACTGCCCCTCTTTACTTAAATTTTACTGGATAATATGACAAAACGAAGTTTTTAATATTATTAGAGTAAAAGATAAGTAAAGATAGAAATACTAATTTCGTATGGGTTTCAAAGAGAAAAAAGGGAGAATAACGTCCAATCCAAGCATATAATGACCAAATTCAGGGAGGAGATTACAACGCAGCCAAAAAGTTTGGCCAATGCCCAAAGAGAGGTGATTCACCAAAAAAAAACTTGGATTCGACATTGCCAGCAGAGGGGCCGTTAGAAAAACTAAAATCTGGACTTGACCATTGCCTTGCAGAGGGCCAATATCGCAGAACAACAACCTGAATTTGGCCATGCCTGCAGAGGGCAGTTAGAAAAAAACAAAATCGACCATCCAAGCAGAGGGCCTTAGAAAACTAAAATTCGACCATTGCCAAGCAGAGGGCCGTTAGAAAAACTAAAATCTGGGCTTGACCATTGCCTTGCAGAGGGCCAATACCGCAAAACAACAACCTGGATTTGACCGTTGCCTTGCAGAGGGCCAATATCGCAGAAGAAACTAAAATTCGACCATTGCCAAGCAGAGGGCCGTTAGAAAACTAAAATCTGGACTTGACCATTGCCTTGCAGAGGGTCAATATCGCAAAACAACAACCTGGATTTGACCATTGCCTTGCAGAGGGCCAATATTGCAGAAGAAAACTTAAATTCGACCATTGCCAAGAAGAGGGCCGTTAGAAAAACTAAAATCTGGACTTGACCATTGCCTTGCAGAGGGCCAATATCGCAGAACAAACAACCTGGATTTGACCATGCCTTGCAGAGGGCCAATATCGTAGAAGAAGATTTAAATTTGACCATTGCCAAGCAGAGGGTCGTTCAAACCTGGATTCAGCACCCTCGAAGAGTTAGTAGAAACCGAGCAAAACATAAGGTTTTCAAAAAACAATTCCCTGCTTCCTTTGAGATGCATGATGTAATGTCATGAGGATGCATGAATGCACAAACACATAGACATTTGTTTTGTTCTTTTCATTTGTTCTCGCTTTTTCTTTTCTTTCCCTCTTTCCATTTTTTGAAAATTCCATGTTTGGAATTTGTTATCAACATCGTCGCCGAGTTGATGTACATTCAAACGCTTCTTTGAAAATAAGGTCCAGAGGCAATGAGTCTTTTAATGAAGAGGGAAATAGTGAAACCATGAGTTCAAATTATCTTTACTGCTTTTTGTAACCTGAAACTAGCTTGAACCCGAGACAGTGTGGGACAGGGATATGACAAGGTAGGTACGATTTGGAAAAGTGTGTGAGGCTCACAAGATTGCCCCAACTTTTGTTGCACATAGTAGGTACGATTTGGAAAAGTGGAAAGGTTTGGGTAGGGAGGATTGCCCCAATCCGACGATACCTTTCTTGACAAAATGATTGATGGGGAGACTTTACAGCATGTTTTTTCATTCTTCATCTTTGATTTTTTCATCTTCCTCCTTTTTTTTTTTAGCGATTGTGTCACTCACCACATCATTTCCTTCCAGAGTTAAGTTCAGGAGAAAGATCAGGACAAATAGTCTTCAGTCAGTGTGGACTTTTATTGGCTTGTACCGTGGCTAAAAGGCAAAGGGTTATGAAAGAAATGGATAATGAAGGCCTAGATAAACGTTAAAGGTTCAATTATTTTAACAAGAATCATCCACAAGGTGTCAAGTCGACGAGCCTCCGGGAGTTTGAAACTCCGGGTATCCTTTTATCATTATTTTTGCTTTTGTTTTTGTTTTTGTTTTTTTTTTATCCTTACTTTCTTTTCCCATTTGGTATTCGTGGTTGCCCCCTATTGTGGTCCTTTTTTTTTAGGCTTCCCTTTTTTTTTCAAAAAATTTTCTAATTGACTTTGGATGCTCTTGATGTACCTTTCGGACTGACATCGATATGCCAATGACTCTTGTATAGGGTGATGAAGAAAAACCGTTATAACTTACGGCTCAAAGGGAGTGCAAACTGGATAAATTTCTTTTTATATTTGGGTGGAGAAAAATGGCCACACGTCATTCTGAAGCTTACTCGCCTTATTTCCCACGACTTTAACGCTGAAACAAAACTCCGTAGCGATTGACACACCGACTTCATTTCCTTTCGTTTTTTTTTTCTTTTTTTGTCTTGTTTAGCTTAGACTGCCCTTTCAGGTTTTCAATCTAACATACATTCTTTTTTTTTTACGCTCCTCGATCAATGTATCATCAGAAGAGGCACTATGATGAAAACTGCCCCGAAATGACAATCCTTTTTTCTTTGAGGGAAATGAAAGGGTAGGGGTTCAAGCAATATGAATGCAGATGCTTTCGTAAAAAAAAGACATAAGTTATCCTCAACAATACCAATCAAGAAAGACTATGCACAAGATATTTTTCAAAACTTTGTTTGTTTTTGGCCTTTTGAGTACCACGCCCCTCGACGACTTTATTGACAACGAAATTCGACATGTGTCTTTCCTTTTCGCCTTTTTCTTCTTATTTTTCTTCACGACACCCTTCAGGGACGAGTTTGTGCTCGATGGATATACTCGTGATGCTTTAATTATCACTTTCCCTTTTCCTTACTTTACTTTAAAACCCAGTGTGACATGAATCGTGTCGAAAGAAAAAGCGTAAAAGTTGAATAATGGATAAAACCGTATGGTATTTATTGAATGAAGTAACACAGAATACAACCTAATTCAAAAACAATGTTGATATCCCTTAGTGGCATCCCCTATCGCGGAATCATCAGCGTAAAACTGTTTTTACCGGCATCAGAATTAACTGGTAAAGGTAATTCCTCTCCATCAATCCTTGTGAGAATTGTGCCCCTCCAAGAATGCCTTTTACTACAAATGGCCCTTCATTAATTTGGGTCCATTGCCTGTGATCCTTTTGTATAGGCAAAATCTTCTTTAACACCAGTTCGCTTCAGGAACTCCCTTGGGCGCACCTGTTTCTGTCGAAAGCCTTTTTCATTCTTCTTTGGTTACAATTGTCCGTGGCCCGCCGTTGCAGTCTCATTTTCTTCGATAAGATTGAGCTGGTCAAACCGAGTTCGAACCCACTCAGCTTCCTCCAATGGGTTTCCTTAAACTGTAGAGATGGGATTTCCACCTCGAAGGAAGTACCGATTCCATCCCATACACAAGCGAGAAAGGTGTTGCCCCAGTTGATGTTCTACTGATGTACGATATCCATTGTTAAGCAAAAGGAAGCATCTCGTGCCAATCTTTAAGGTGACCACCATCTTTTGTACAATCGTTGAGTTCTTTATTTAGCAGCTCTCTGCCCCATTAATCTTTGGCGATAAGGGGAAGAATTAAGATGATGAATTTTGAACTCCTCAATAACTCCGCCATCATCTGGTTGTTCAGGTTAGTGGCATTATCAGTGATAATCTTGTTAGGAAGCCCATACCTACAGACCAATTCTCTTTTTATGAATCTGGTTTACCCACCTTTCTAGTCACATTGGCATAAGAAGCAGCCTCAACCCCTTGGGAAGTTAATCATCGCGCCTAGTATGAAACTGTGTCCATTCGACGCTTTTGGGCTCATAGTCCAATAACATCTATCCCCCACATCGAAACTGGCCACGGTGCAGACAACACGTCAAGGTCGATGGGCGGCACATTGATATTGTCGGCATACATTGACATTTCTCGCAACTTCCTCACGTGTGTACAACAATCATTTTCCATGGTCAACCAGAAGTAACCAGCTTCAAGATCTTCCTGAAGCCATTTGACGTGCCCGTTCATGTGTGGCCAATGTACCTTCGTGCACTTCTTTAATATCAATTCGGCTTCCTTTGCATCCACAACATTGAGGAGAACCATGTCATGATTTCTCTTGGATAAAATATACCCATTTAAAATAAAAGCTGCCAGCCAACCTCCTTAACGAACCTTATATCGTTTTTCAGATGCCTTCTCATGATATTCTCAGGTCTTAAGATAGTGCTTGATATCAAAATACCAAGGTTTACCATCTACCTCATCCTCGATGAAATGGCAATATGCTGGCTCTACATGGCTCTTCATTTCAGTCATCGGTAATTCTGCATCTTGGTCAACTTCAAACATTGATGACAAAGTAGCCAACGTGTTTGCTAATTGATTATCTTCTCGCGGTATGTGGTTAAATGTGATGGCGTCGAAATACTCCATTAATCTCCTGACGTAAGCTTGGTAAGGAATTAATTTTGCATCCCTAGTTTCCCACTCTCCCTTCAACTGGTGGATGACTAAAGCTAAATCTCCATACACATCCAGAATTTTCACTTTGGACTCTATTGCTGCCCGAATACCCATAGCGCAGGCCTCATATTCTGCAATGTTATTTGTGCAATTAAAACATAACCTTGCTGTCATAGGTATGACTGATTGATATAGAGAGATGAGAAATGCCACTTGCCAGCCCCATACACATTCGAGGCTCCATCGATAATAATGTCCAGTTTCTTCGTCTCGTTTGTCTGCCTTCTTGAATAGAGCCATGATATCTTCATCGGGAAATTCGGGCTGCATTGGCTGATAATCGCTGATGGGTTGATGAGCTAGGTATTCTGCTAACGCACTTCCCTTGACGGATTTCTGAGTAACATAAACGATGTCATATTCTGACAATAGCATTTGCCACCGAGCATCCTTCCAGTAAGAGCAGGCTTTTCAAAAATGAACTTGATAGGGTCCACCTTGGATATCAACCAGGTTGAGTGACTCAGCATGTATTTCCTTAAGCGATGAGCGGCCCACGCCAATGCACAACAAGTTCGTTCTAATGACAAATATCTTTGTTCGCAGTCTGTGAATTTCTTGCTCAAGTAGTAATAGGTGGCTCTCTCTTCCAACTCATCGTGTGCTGACCCAACACACAACCCATTGACCATCCAACACCGTCAAAGACAAAATGAGCGGTCTTCCTGGTTCAGGTGGACGTAATAAGGGAGGGGTCTTGTAGGTATCGGTTGACCATTTTTCAAAAGCGGCTCTTGACAATCCTCATTCCAAAACTTACAGCCTGATTCTTTGTAAAACACTTGAAAATTGGTTCACACGTAGCGGTTAATTGGGCGATGAATCTAGCAATGTAGTGCAGTCTACCCAGGAAAACCTAGAACCTCCTTTTCTGTTCTAGGCGTAGGCATTTCATTATCGCTCGCGCCTGTCGGATCCACTTCTTCCCTTTTGGCTAACCACACAAAACCCAACAATTTCCCAGATTTCACTCCAAAACGTGCATTTGGTGGGTGTAACTGAGTTATACTTTCTCAATCTCTCAAATAATTCTTCAATGTTGAGAATTTGTTCTTCTTCCGATTCGGACTTTGCAATCATGTCCTCCACATAAACTTCGATTCTTGTGCATCATGTAATGAAAAAAGTGCCACCATCGCCCTATGATATGTTGGCCCGAAATTCTTGAGCCCATAAGGACATCACCTGTTAACAAAAGGTTACCACAACGTGAAAAATGTTGTTTTTTCCATCTTGATCTGATTATGATACACGGGGCCAAAGGCCAATTAGTTTAGTATAGTATTCTTTTACTTTTATTCAAAAACATGTTGTAAAAAGGTGTTAGGCCTGTGCTAGATAGAGGGGAACTTTTAGTTCTATATATAGACATGGCCACCACCTCTGGTAAGGTATTGTGAGAATAATGAATTTAAAACTTTTGTAGAGAGAAATTCCAGAAATTAATCCCTTGAAAGTCAAAGCTAGAGAAATCCCAAAGATCTCCTCTAGGCCACCTTCCATCTCACTTACATTCTCTCATTTTACATTATCTCGTCTATCATAGATCCAGTCTCCCGCAATTAACCAATTGATAGCTTCCCGTGGATTGCATCAGGTTCTACTGCCTACGCGTGCCGTTCCTTCACGAGATTCCATCACATAGCGTCAATATCATCAATTCGCGTCCGCACCTAAGTTTTCGCTCTCGAAAGCTCGTGCAACCACAAACTCATCCTATCAACAAACCTCCGAGAGATCTTTACTTCAGAATATCCAAAACCTTCACGTCTGCCAATCCACCGAATTCACATATTATCTTGCTTCACGACCATTCTCCACCGATTAGATCCTTACACCGATAAAATACTTTCCAGCGCTAAACAGCTTCCGAATCAAACCCTAGGTTTTCACGAACAAACATCGAATCTCTGGTTGTTTTTCGTGTTCATCTTCGAATCAATACTAGGGTTCTGACTATGTCTGTTCTCTGTGCTTCCGGTCTTCATTCTCGAAGCAAATTAGGATTTCTCGACGTTTCCGGATTAAGTCAAGCCGTAGCTAATATGTGTAGAAGAGCCTGGTAGGCGCGGACGCTTGAGGCTAACGTATTCGTTCTCTTCGATCTATATATATATATATATATTTTGTGAAACGTTATGTTTTGTTTTATTAATTTTATAATATCTTATTTTATCTTGTAAATAGCTGAAAATGAAATGTTACGTGATTTTTTTTCAATAATTTGCAATTTTTTTAATTTAAATAAGAAAACTTTTATTAAATATTAATTAGTATTTTCTTTCACAAATGTCAACGAAGAAAACTTTCCCATCAAAATTGATAAAGAAAAATAATAGTGGTTAAATCAATAAAAAAAGGTTAATATTAGTTAGTGGAAAATTGTTAAACAACTTTAATCGAAAAATAATATCAATCAATTAAAAATATAATCAATTTTGATATTTTTGAATTTTTAATAATTATTTGGTATTTAAATAGTTTCTTATATTTGATGATAATTGAAATACTTTATTAAAAAAATTAAAATTAATTAAATTTGAATTTTCTAATTCAAACAAAAACATTTAACATGAAATAACTTAATACGATAGTAATTCAAAATTCAATATATATTTTAGATATGAAAGTTTCCATCCAAACAAATTATTAAATTTCCTATTCAAATATAAAGTAAGATATTAATTCTTCTTATGTGAGATCTATAGTACAAATTCATATATTGATTAGTAAACAACTTGAATATATTAAATATGTAATAATTATATACGCGAGTAATACAATATATCCCAATAACTCTCAATATTATAAGTTTGGATAAAATCATACTCAAGTATATATCATAAGTAGATTTTTATGTTTAATTAAGTTCAGACTTTTATCGTATTTTGTTTATATATTGAGTGCAAACGTATACATATATGTTTCAACTTTCGTATAGTTTGGCAGACCTCCACTTCCTTCCTGTAAATGATAATTCAAGAATCAAGTGTTGTTAAAATTGACTTATAGGCTTAGCATAACTTTCACTATGACAATAATTAACCTTTCACTGATATGTAATTATGGTGAATTAGATTAAACATTGTTAAGATTCATTCTCTCTGTTAAACTTTGACCTAATTTTCACAAGATCCAAAATTCAGCATTGTTAAGATTATTAAAAAAATTGCCTAGATAATTTGGTAAATGGCATTAATAATATGAACGTAATTATTATACCTAAACACGCTTACATGTAGACTTCATATATAATCAAAAAGTAAAATATAGAAATTTATATTTTTCTCTCTTTCATAAATGCAAAAAAAAAAAAAAAGATTTAGGCTGATTATCAATATTTTATTGGATTACATCAAATATTTGGCTTTTGTAATGTGGACGTAGAATTTTTTATTAATTTTTCGAAAGCAAAAAATGTGAGCCTTACGAAAATATTACACGAGACGAGACAAAAGCAAAAGTCATGGACTTAATGAAGAAGATAATGGATGCACTTGGCTTTTTCTTATATTAGCTAAAAATGTAGTAACCATTCATGCACCTGGCTTTTTCTTCTGGACCCAAAGAAATAAAAGCATATTTAATTTTATTCATGTGTTTCACAACCCACACACTAACCTGTTTTTTGGTGCATGTACAATTAGATACTACAACTGACTTAAAAAAAATTAAGTTAATTAGTATCATTTAATTGCACCAGTTTCATTAAAATAAATAAATGTTTTCATTAAATTATCCTTTCTTTAAATTTGATAATAAAAATTTTTAAAAAGTCATTAAATGAAAGAAAGTTTAGAAATAGTCTCATTTAAATAAAGTAAAATTAGTTGAGATTTATTGATAGTCATAGAGGTTGAATACTTAACATAAAAATTAGGGTTAATTATTTTCAAGGTCCCTAATTTTGCTGAGAAGTCTTAATTAGGTTCAGTTATTATTTTTTTTCTCAATTAGGTCTATATTTTCAAAAAATTAAAGTCATTAAGTCTTTATTTTCGAAAAATTAAAGTCATTAGGTTCTTGCCTTTAGTTTCGTACCGACACCGTTAAAGGAGGTGTCACATGTCAGTTCCTGATTTTTTTGAATTTTTGAATTATTTTTTAATTTTTTATTATATTTTTATTTTTTATTTATTTTTAATTTTTTTAAAAAAATAGTATTAAAAATGTCACGTGTCAAATTAATATTGTGCCACGTGGCAATAACAGTGTGACATGACACTGACAGTGCCACGTATCACTCTTAGTGCCACCTATCACTATCAGTCCACATCTTAGTTTGGTTCTTATATTTTTATTTTTTCTCAATTTGGTCCTCTATTTTTATTTTGTCTCAATTTAGTCTAATTTTAAAAGTTAAGCAATTTTGTCCCTCTCCAAATTCAAATAAAATTTAATTTGTATGTAAATCTTAATAAAAAAATTTATTAAAATTGATATTTTTATTAAATATTTTTAACTAGATTAAGTTTGTTTATATTTTTATTTAATTAATTATATAAATGTTAATTATGTTCTTTAAATATACCTATAAGAGTTAAAAGAAAACATTGACATAACATGGTGGTGTGAATTTTTGAAATGATTTAGCTCATTGTAAAATTATTGATTGAAATTTCACTTTTTTTTAAATAAAAAATTAGAGAAAGTTTTCGTGAAAATGATAATTAAAGGTAGTTTCTTCTTTCATGATCTTCTATAAAAATTTTCTCCACGAAAATTCACACAAACATGTTATGTCACTCTTTTTTAAATCCTTATAGGTATATTTAAATAACATAATTAACATTTATTTATATAATTAAATAAATATAAATATAATTAAACTTAATATTATTAAAAGTATTTAATAAAAATATCAATTTTAATAAAAATATTTGTTAAGATTTATATACAATTTAAATTTTGTTTGAATTTGAGGAGGGATAAAATTGTTCAATTTTTTAAAATTAAGACTAAATTGAGACAAAATAAAAATAAAAGGTTCATTGAGACACAAGAAAAATAATTGAGACTAATGCAATGACACGTGCCCTGACAATGACACGTGGCACTGTCAATGCCATGTCACACTACCATTACCATGTGGCACTGTATTAGTTTGACATGTGGCTTTTTTAAATTTTATTTTAAAAAAATTAAAAATAAAAAAAAATAATAAAAAATAATTTAAAAAATAAAAAAAAAAAACCACAAACTGACACATGACATCTCATTTAACAGTGTCAACACGAAACTAAGGACCTAATAATTTTAATTTTTGGAAAATAGGGACCCAATTAAGAAAAAAATAACTGAGAACCTAATTGAGACTTCTTTACAAAATTAGGAACCTCGAAAATAATTAAACCTAAAAATTAAGATAACTCACA